CATGATCCCCTAAACCCTAAACCCCTCCCAATTCCTTTGGAGCTCTGCCTTCAACGTTGGGTCCTTGATGGGTGATGTGTGGTTTGAGATGAGCTTCCCGCCAATCCTGACAATGTCAGAGCCAGACCCGAAGCCAGCTCAGCAGCTCTGCAACCCTTCCTGTTGCAGTGTTTGACATCCTCAGGAACTTCGATGTTTTTGCCACGGCTAGGATCAGAGCCTTGCAAGATCCATCGCCGTCGTAAAAACAAAAAGTCGTCGTGGCACGGGCACCCACCACACCACCTTGCCACCCATTCGGTTTGCAGGCCGAGTTTAGGATTTAGGGTACTATAATTATAATAAGGAACCCTAAGGAATGATATTGGTAATTATTTAGGCTATATTAGCGCTGGTGAGGGTCGGATCCGCTTCCCTTCATCACCACGGCCTGCGCTCCCGGTGGAGCACCTTGCTCCGCATTAACCACGCTTTAGGGTTTAGGGTACCTCCTGCAGCGAATGGCAAAAAAGCCGCTGCGTGAGGTGGTGTCTTTGTCATCCTCGGGCGTGGTCGCGTTGCGGTCGCCACCGGACCCTAAACCCTAAACCCTAAACCCCAAACCCTAAAAACTAAAAACCCTAAACCCTAAACCCTAATCCCTAACAGTCATAAGGCCTTCTCGTCGGTTTCCGCAGCTTAGGGTATCAGATTCGGGGTTGGGCAGCGGAATCCGTTATCGAGAGTCTGTGGTGTACCCCAAAACCCTAAATCACTTATGTTTAGGGCTTGCGGTTTAGGGTTTAGGGTTTATAGGGTTTAGGGTTTAGGGTTAAGGGTTTAGGGTTTATAAGATTTACGGTTTAGGGTTTAGGGGTCCAAAGCCCTAAATGATTTATGCTGGAGTGAAGACGGCTTTCAGTATGGCTCCATGTACAGATCTAGGACAGTACAGGCTAAACTTAGGCCTTACAGGGGTTCCTATCAAGGTACAACGCCGCAGTATAGACTTTACAAGTACATGAAGCCTTGGAGGGAATATAAACCTCGGGAATCGCCTAATACAGGGGCCTTAATTCTTAGAATAATGTCTCTTGGGGCCGATTATACTATAATTCTCATCATAATACAGACCGCCCCCCCTTCCAAAAAAAAGAGTAACAATATGTATATATATATATATATATATATATTTATTTATGTATATATATATATATATATAGGTCATGATTTAGGCCCCCCAAAGTAAGACCAGAGCCGAGCCTGCGCCTGGTGGGTGTTCTTCGCTGCACAAAGGATGGTGTCAAGCGTGGCCTGAGACGAGAAGCAAGTCCCTAAGGGCCCATGTACTCAAATAGTAAATACTTTGGCCCCAAAGTACCCAAACCCTAAACCCTAAACCCTAAACCCTAAACCCTAAACCCTCAAACCCCAAAGTACCCAAATAGGGACTACTTTAAGGCCAAATCCTCTACGATGTGGGTACATGGGCTCTCAACCCGTAACCTTAAGTCCCCAAGCCAAAACCCCCAAAGCAGGGTCATATTAGGGTTTCTCGAAATTAACCTATAAAAAATAGGTCATGGTAGTCTAAGGAGGTTACTTTACTCTGAGAGTAAAGACAGTGGGCTAATACTCTTCCAGTGTTAGGCGTCTACACTGGCATCATTCTTAACCAACATAGGGATGTTTTGGGGGGCGTCGCATAATACCGCAAGACCATGATTATGATATAGGGACGATGATGGAATATTATTGCTAAAAAAGGGTTGTCGGGTTGGGAGTTCACGATTTTTTCGGGTACTGGCTGCAGAAACAGCAGGGATTCGGATTCGGATGCAGTGGCTTAGGCTCCAGAGTTTACCATTCCAGGCGCTGGAGGTTAGCCCGTGAACCTGTTTGGACACTACTGCTGGGAGGATCATGGGACATAGTAAGTAAGGTTACAAGTCCCTTAATTGGGGTCATAAGTAAACATAAGTACAGTTACCTTAATTATAACCCTACTTACTAAGTACCATGATCCTTTAAGCTTTTTGAGAATGTGCTTGGACGGCTTCTCTGCAGCTCTTGCTGGCCTTTGCTGGTGTTTTGATCTCAGCGTGCATGGGGTCTACCTGGAGGCTTATACCCTACCCGCTTAGGGCACCTCTTATGGTTAGGGTCTGTTATCTAGCAAAGTGAGTACCCCAAAATGGGGGTACGGTATTGATGAGCCCATAGGTAGGGTCAGGGACTTATCTCTTGGATGAGAGGCCAAGACGGAAGTTGGGAACTGTTCGCCCACAACAGGGCCTAAGCTGAGGGTTTCGCGAGTTATACTGTTGCTGATAAAAATCCTGGAATACCTTAAGGACCCTAACTATGGGATTTATGGTATATTCCATATTATGGGGAATGCAGGATTTATATCATCAACCGTAGTACCCACGAGCCAAAAGCCACGAAATGTCGGGTTTAGGCATGGGGCACCCTAAACCAACAACAACTCTCGCTGCTTCAACCCCCCGGCAGCAACCACTGAGACTTGCAGAAGAGAGGGGATCCTACCAAGTACTTAGAGGATCATGGGACTTAGTAAGTAGGGCTATAATTAAGGTAACTGTACTTATATTTACTTATAACCCCTCTTAGGAATTATAACCTTACTTACTAAGTCCCATGAACCTCCAAGTACTCCGAAAGGGCTCCCGAACTCCTGAAACCCCGAAAGTTCTGTCGGATGGAGGTTGGGGTGGTGGAACATTTGGCCTGGGAGTGTCGGTGCCTCCTTTAGAGCGGCTATGACAGCGGGTGCCAGAAATTATCGAACAGTCTTATCCGAACTCCGACATCCTGAACAATCTAAGTTTAGGGTTTCGGCTTTGGGTTTAGGGTGTAGGGTTTAGGATTGCCATCATGAGAAACGATTGCGAGTTTAGATTTCAGGGGCAGTGCCATCTCGGAGTTTGACAGAAATAGGGCAATCCGAATCCCTAAGCCCTAAACCCCTAAACCCGAATTTAGACCCCGCAAGCTCGGCCGTTCAACTCAGCAAGGGCTCTATAACTTCCGAGAATCCCAAGGATGGGCCGGGCTCCCCTCCTCAAGGATCCTACGCAAACTTTTCGGATTTGGAAATCGCATCATGGTTTGTGTAACCCAGGGGTCCATGTACACCACCATTATATGGAATCAGGTACCCCCAAAACCATCCCTACTCTCAGCCCTAAACCCTAAACCCT